CAGCTTCAGGAGATTTTTGAGCTTTTTCAACTTTTTTTTGTATAAACTGAAAACAACAAGTTGAGGAAACCCAAAAATCTGCTGAAGCTGGTTGCTTTAAACTATTACGTTTTCTCAACTTTTTATTTTTTACAGTGCATCTAATATCCAGTTAAATATATATACATATTTATTTATAAATAATAATAATAAGTTATTATTATTATTAAATTATTTTGCCATTTTAATTATTATATATAATCACTATGTTAATTATTTGCAAGTATCCCATTTTGAAAAAAAAAAAAACAATGCTGTAAATGGAAGGTCAAGTGGAGAGAGCATTGCATTATGGGATGGAGTATTGTACACTGCGAGTCTGGAGAGCGTTATAGCGTGTGTCTGACCTCGGACCTGCTGCTCCAGGCTGAGGATGACGGCGACGGCCTGATGCAGGATCAGCAGCTTGGTCTGGGGTTTGTCGCTCTTCAGGTGCAGCTGCACCATGCGGCCCAGCTCTTTGAAGGCCTCGTTACGCGCGCGCACGCGCAGACGCTCCCGCGCGTTATTAGCCATGCGCCGCTCCTTCTCCCGCTCCAGCTTCTGCTCCGGAGTCAGATCCTCGTCGTCGTTGTTGCTGTGGGCCGGAGCGTGAGGATATTCATTCATTCATTCATTCATTCATCCATCAGGACCATATCAGGGCTTACGTTTCTCGTATTCAACCTGTGCCAGATTTAGTGCTGAACACATTATGTTTATGGAATAAAACATTCTAGATAAAAAGTTACAATATTCAAAGTAGGCAATATAAAATACTAGACGTATGAAGTACATACAAATATATAATAGATTCAAAAAGTATCATCAATTCTAGATATATAAAGTATATAAAAAGATATAATAGATACAAAAATATCTAAAATTCTAAATGTATAAAATAAAAAATTCTAAATATATTAAAATATATAAAAAGATATAATAGATACAAAAAATATAATTAATTCTAGATATATAAAGTATATAAAAAGATATAATAGATACAAAAGTATCTAAAATTCTAAATGTATAAAATAAAAAATTCAAAATATATTAAAATATATAAAAGATATAAAAAATATCATAAATTCTAGATATATAAAGCATATAAAAAGATATAATAGATACAAAAGTATCTAAAATTCTAAATATGTAAAATAAAAAAATTCTAAATATATAAAAATATATAAAAGATACAAAAAGTATAATTAATTCTAGATATATAAAGTAAATAAAAAGATATAATAGATACAAAAGTATCTAAAATTCTAAATATGTAAAATAAAAAATTCTAAATATATTAAAATATATAAAAAGATATAATAGATACAAAAAGTACATACAATCCTAGATATATAAAGCATATAAAAGAATATAAAATTCCAGATATATAAAGTATGTAAAATTCTAAAAATATATAAAGTATATAAAAAGAATATAACATTGTAGATTAATATAGTATACAAAATATATATAAAAATACATAAAATTCTCTCTATATAAAGTAACTAAAATTCTAGATATATTAAGTATATAAAAATACATAATATAGATACAAAAATATCTAAAATTCTAGATATATAAAGAACATCAAATTCTAGATAAAGTATATAAAATATATAATAAATACAAAATGTATATAAAATTGTAGATAAATAAAGCATATAAAAATAAAGTATACAAAAAGTATCTAAAATTCTAGATATATATAGTATATAAAAATACATAAATTATACAAAAAATACATAGGATTCTAGATATATAAAGTATATAAAAAGAATACACAATTATAGATTTATATAGAATATAAAAATACAAAGTATACAAAAAGTACATAAAATTCTAGATATGTAAAGTATATAAAAAGAAAACACAATTATATATATATATATATATATATATAGTATTTAAAAATACATAAATTATACAAAAAGTACATAAAAATTCTAGATATATAAAGTATATAAAAAGAATACACAATTATAGATTTATATAGAATATAAAAATACAAAGTATACAAAAAGTACATAAAATTCTAGATATATAAAGTATATAAAAAGAATACACAATTATAGATTTATATAGAATATAAAAATACAAAGTATACAAAAAGTACATAAAATTCTAGATATATAAAGTATATAAAAAGAAAACACAATTCTAGATATATATAGTATATAAAAATACATAAAGTACACAAAAAGTACATACAATTCTAGATATATAAAGTATATAAAAATATATAATAGACACAAAAAGTATATGAAATTCTAGATTAAATGCTAGATTTTAAATGCTGAAATTCTAGATTAAATCTTCTAGAAGTTTAGATGATTTATAATATCAGCCATGACAAAATATTTATCATATTTATTAGCATTGAATCCCTAGTCCATTTTCTTGATTTGAGGCTCAACAGTAAAAAGTGAATCTGTTTCTAATGATGCATCAAATCAAACTTTAAATCTGAATAAAATATATCAGACATCAGAAATCACAGTCGCAAAGATCGCCTTGAATTTGAGTGGAAGAATCGAATTGGTCATTCCAGGTGGAACTCTATAAACCACCCTGCGGGAGGAGTCAGGCGTTTATCCTGGAAATATCTGGATGAATTAGCCCTACTCTCATGCGTGAGAAACAGCTAAAATCTGGCTCAAGACCAGACGAGATGCTCAACAACCCCAACATGTGTGCGTCGCTGAAAACTATTTCAGTCTCAGATCTATTATATATCTATATAGCTGATATTTATCATTTAAGAGAGATTATATATTTGCAGTTTCTTTGTAATTATTTGTGAAATTTACTAGCAACTCCTGAAATTTCAATGCAAATGCAACAATTTTCCTTTTGCAAGTTTTGTTTTGTTTTGTTTTCTATCTAAAATGTATTCATTTTATATATTAAATATCATTTAATATAAATTTTTATTTCAGCTTTATTTACTTTACATACAGCTTTACATAAAAATTCTAGATCTATAAAGTATATAAAAAGAATACACAATTCTAGATATATATAGTATATAAAAAGAAAACACAATTCATTTTATATATTAAATATAATTTCATATATTTCATTTCAGCTTTATTTCAGTTAACAGAAATTATTTTTTAATAATTTTAGTAATTTTGGCACTTTAACTTTTATTTAATTTGCTCTGTAAAAAAACTATTTGTTGAAGTTGAAATTTCAGACTTTCTATTTCAACATTCCATGTTTAATTTGCCGTTTTTTTTTTTTTGTGTAATTATTTGTAAAAATTATTTGTGAAATTTACTAGCGCTTAAAAATAAATGTAAAATTTTAAGGCAACGTGTAATTTTTTAAGTTTAGGTTTTTAATCATTAATTTATATTTTAGTTTTATTTCAATTAAATTAATATGTTTAGAAGATAAAAAAATAAATAAAATTTAAACAAAATTAATATTATTGGAGTATGCTTCCAAAAATACAAAAAAATTAATATTTTTGAATTTCAAAATGCCATGTTTAATTTGCCATCTATTTTGTAATTATTTGTAAAAATGTTCTCGCAATTTCTAAGTGAAAATGAATTCTACACTTACTGTATTCTCTATAATTTGTATGGTATAACACTAAATATTTGATTTAGTGTCCAGATGTAAAACGTTGAGAATTGCTGAATTGAAAGTAACGGTGTGTGTTTGTATGAGCTGGATCAGAATGTGTTGTGTTTAGCTTGGGTTGCTCATCTGTGCGTTTAGCTGCCTCTCAGAACACGTGTCACTTCATCAAAGTCCAGACGGCGTTTGATTGAAGCGATGCTCACGCTACAGTTTACCTAGATCTCGACCTCTCTAGAGATTTCAGATCCTTGCTGTCCATGTCCTCCTTCTTGTTATCCAGAGATTTTCCGTCCTGCAGGTTCTCGTCTCCCTCGTCTTCAGATTTGATCTCCGAGCTCACAGACGAGGTGCTCTGACCCTGCAGACCTCCGGAGAGCGCTGGAGACCAGCGAGAAGAAGACAGCAGCATCAGTCTCAGAGACACACATCTCAAACATCAGTCTTTCTCTTTCATCGGCGCGTTACAGAAGCACAACCGTCTGTTGTATCATTCAAATGAGCTGCTAAAGTGAAGCCTTCTAACATTATTAAACTATTACATATGCTGCATATATTAACAGAGAATTCCTGTCAAATTCAGAGTCGTTTTATTCATGAAAAAACAACCTTTTCTTATAAGACTGAATATGAATGAACAACGATAAATATAAAATATAAAAACAGATTTGGAAGAAAAACGATCTTATTGTGGAAACTGTGATACACTATCGTTCAAAAGTATAAGGAGCGGTAATATTTAAAGAAACAAAGAAATTGAACATTTTATTCATCGAGGACTCATTAAATTGATTAAATGTGACAGTAAAGACATTTATCATGTTACAAAAGATTTCTGTAAATGCTGTTCTTTTGAGCTTTCTGTTCATCAAAGAATCCCGAAAAAAATTTAAAAATAAAAAATATTAATTTTAAAAATAATGTTTTCAAGATTAGTATAACAATAAGAACTATAATATAATATAATATAATATAATATAATATATACAAATAATTAAAAAGAAACGGCAAGTAACAGATTGAATTAAATGTAACATTTTGAAGTAGAAAAACTGAAATAGTATTTTCTTGTAAAATGTACTTGATGATCTTAGAAATTTTTTTTTTTTTCAGTGTAGTTTGGTTTTATGTGTAACTTTGGGTTCGTCTGTTTTGGATTTGTAATTGATCATTTGTGCATTTCCTCTAGTGCCATTTACCTTTAAAGACAGCATGAATTATCATTCACGATGCATTCATTTATGAGTGAAACCAAATACTGCTTTTATCCGTGAGGATTTCATTGCATGCAATATTTTAAAGGAATAGTTCACCCAATAATGAAAATTACTGAAAATGTACTCATCCTCATCTAAATTGTAGATGAGTTTGTTTCTTCATCAGATGTGGAGAAATGTAGCATTGTATCACTTGCTCACCAGTGGATCCTCTGCAGTGAATGGGTGCCGTCAGAATGAGAGTCCAAACAGCTGATAAAAACATCACAATAATCCACAAGTAATCCACACCACTCCAGTCCAGCAGTTAATGTCTTGTGAAGACAAAAGCTG